GGGGGGGGTGGCGAGAAGGGGCCGCGGGGGCGCCGTTCGCGGGGTGCGGGTTGGAAGGTGAGGAGACGAATTAGGGGCGCGCCGAGCCGCGGCCGCTGCGGGGGTTGGGTGCTGTGAGGGTGCGATGTGTGTGGGGGGGGTCTGGCGCGCGCAGCTGGTGCACAAATGCGGTGGCAGTGGTGGTGGTGGTGGTGGTGGTGGTGGTGGTGGTGTCGGGTCGCTTCGGTGGGGATCGCTGGCCGGAGACGAGGGGCTGGGGGGAGGATTGGTGCAGACGGGTCTGGAGGACACCGGTACAGCAGTGAGCCGCAGCACAGCTGGCTGGCTGGCCCCGGCTGACGACCAGGCACAGAGAAGTGCTTGCAGCAGGGCGCCACACAGCGTGACGTTCTTGCCCCGCCCCACGTGCGCCTCGACCCTTCTACTGTCCCGAGCCCCGCCCACCCAGCCTCTGTCAGCGGCCGCCTCGGCTTCCTCCCCTTCCGGACAAAACCTCTGCTCAGATCACATTCTGAGTCTGATCTCTGATCTCAGACCTCAGACCTCAGATCGCACTCACGTGCTCCTCCAGTGTGTCCAGCACCCCTATGGCCTCCTGCCACTGCCCCGTCTTCACGTACAGGTCAATCAGCGTGTTGAACGTCACAAGGTTGGGGGTGCAGCCCTCGTCCAGCATCTGGGATCAGCAGCAGAGGGGAGGGGCGGATCAAAGAGGAGGGTTGTGACTGGGTTGGACAGGAGGGGGGCGTGTGCGATGGCAGCGTGCCCGCACGGCCTCGAAGGCCTGCAGCAGCGCCCCGCGGCCACCCTGCGGCTTGGCGCCGCGCGGTGGCTCCCTCAGGCGCGGCGCCTTGAGAGCCCGCGGCGGGCGCGGGCCGCGAGAACGCGGCCTCCCGGCGGCCCGGCCTGACAGGTGGGAGCGAGGATGCCGCGAGGCTCGCCAGCCGGCCCTCCCCCTAAAAAACGGCCGCCCTGGGCCCCGCCCCCACCTGCTTGTACACCTCCTGCGCCAGCTGCACCTCGTTCGACTTTATGCACACGTTCATGAGCGCGCTGTATGTGTGCACGTTGCAGCTGATGCCCCGCGACCGCATCTCCGCCGCCAGCTCCAGCGCCCGCTCCAGCTGCTGGCTGCTGCTGCACACGCTGATGGCGGTGGTGTAGGTGTATATGTCCAGCAGGTGGGTCGTGTCGAGGCCACCCTCGCCGCGCAGGTGGTCAAACACCTCCACAGCGCGCGTGGCCAGGCCTGCGGGAGGGCGCGGGGCAGGCGCGCCGCTCGGGCCAGGGGCCGGGTTGCAGCGGGCGGCGCGGTCCGGGCCATGGGCCGGCGGCCGCAGGGCGCTGAGGGGGGCCGCGGCGCGTTTGATGGAGGCGGCGGCTACGGGTCTGCGCGGGTGCAGGCGTGCGCATGTGGTGCGAGGCGGTTGCAAAGGGATTGGGAATGGTGGTGTGGGGCGCGCCTTACCTTGGCGGCCGAGCTCTTTGAGGAGCGCAGCGAGTGCGCTGCTGTCAAGCTGCTGCAGCGACGGCCCCACCACGTGCATGATGGGCTGGCCCGAGGGGACAGACGCGATGAAGCTGGGGGGTGGGGGGGGGGCGCGGAAGGGAATGTGGGGTGTGTGGGGACAACGGGGTGGATGCTGTATTT